CCACCCTACGCTGGAATAATGGCAGTGAGCGTGCCTTACCTCCACCCTATGCTGGAATAATGGCAGTGAGTGTGCCTTACCTCCACCCTACGCTGGAATAATGGCAGTGAGCGTGCCTTACCTCCACCCTATGCTGGAATAATGGCAGTGAGCATGCCTTACCTCCACCCTACGCTGCAATAATGGCAGTGAGCGTGCCTTACCTCCACCCTATGCTGGAATAATGGCAGTGAGCGTGCCTTACCTCCACCCTATGCTGGAATAATGGCAGTGAGTGTGCCTTACCTCCACTCGATGCTGGAACTGGCCTGGCTTCCTCTGTATGAACTCCCCAAACTCCTTCCTCTGTCCTAAACAGAAGGACAATGGGCGTGTTGTCCGGTCACAGCACGGTTAGTGTGGGAAAGGGGGGGCCACACTCCCCTGGAAAGCTGTAAGGTGTTTGCTGCAGGAGGGTAGTACTCGCTGTGGGATATCAGTCATGATTCAGGATAGACAAGATGAGGGGGTTGATGACCGTATTACACCAGATACATGTTCTCAATCAGGTAGAGGGAGCGAGTAGGTTGGTAGGTAAGCTTGTATTTATGTATTGTTATTCACCAGTGATGCATACATAAAACCAGGGACTACATTTAGAGAGGGGAACAACTAGACTAACTACACCTAAAAACTCCGGCTTGCCGACACGGTGCCTCTTCCTTCAGACTCTCCCGCGCTCTCTCCTTTCGCATGCACCCACAGTCCTTTGCAAACACCAGTGTTCCTTAAAGTTACAAGAGCCTTTCTAACAGGGACCAATCAAGGTCAGAACTCATGGCCCTGGTATAGCCAGTACTCATTGTTATGGGGTGCTTAGGGCTGGTACTCACTGTAGATGAATTTGCCACTGGGCCGGGTGAAGATGGAATTCTGTGAAGATGGAATTCCGTGAAGATGGAATTCCGTGAAGATGGAATTCTGTGAAGATGGCTCCCCCAGGGGAATTTTGCTGAAACAAAGATACTCCAGAGGTCAGCAGTTGAAGAGGAGACAGAGGAAAGTCCCTTTGGGAGAATAAGGAAGTGTATAAAACAACACTAGTAAGTAGCAGAGTATATGGGAGGGATTGTGTAAGACTGAATACATATGAATATATCAGACTATATATATCAGTATATAGCAGAGTACATGGGAATTAAGATATGAGTGTATAAGACTGCATGACACAATGTAATGGAATGCATGTAGGAATACTTATGAAAATAAGTTTAGGAGTATATGGGGGGTATATTAAACTCTTATTGTGAAATTTCCTGACCAATGGATAAGGCATATTAAACTCTTATTGTGAAATTTCCTGACCATTGGATAAGGCATATTGAACTTTTATTGTGAAATTTCCTGACCATTGGATAAGATGTTCTTCTACAGTATGTAGAATAAGGTCTCTCTGTGATTCCCCCTAAACCTGCCACCGCATTAGACATACCTGTCCTGCAGCAAGGCATCACGGAATCTCGGCTCGTCGTAACGGAAGCCGTCGCTGTCCATCCTGGCTTCCTGACCGACTACCATGTACCTTACGCACAACGCGAAACAAAACATGCTACATGTCAGTAAACCCTCTAACATGCATTTCCTGTGTCCCACCATAGAATAGCACACTGGAACACCTATAACATGCTTCATTTCTCAAGGTACCTAAGATCACACAGAACTGATTATAGGCCCTAGAATTCTCGGAGCTGGAGGGACATTTGGTCAGCCTTGGGGTGGGTTATCCAGGCCTAACATCGCCCCAAATCACTCATCTGAAGTTTCTTCCTTCGGCAAGTAGGGTTCATCTGTCCACACCATTAATTCTTCCAATGCATAAGCACTTTCACCAGGCTCACAGAACCCACACTTCCTGTGCTTGCTAAAACGTATCAGGTTTTGAATTTGCATTATTTTATTTTTAATTGTTAGCTTGAGTTACGGAGTCTAAGGCGGTTGTACCGTTGTGGTTTAATGTAATCCAGCACGCAGGTGACCCAGTTGAGGTGGAAAACAGCTGACAAGTTAGCTGAAGGAGAACTTTAGTCATCACAACCGAGGAAGAGGCTGGTTAATAATCAATTCTGTTTTATTATATTACCCAATAGCACGCATGGTAAAAACAAACGGTAACTCATTTCCGTTACAGGGAAAAAAGCAGAAGGAAGCTCTCACACACACATAGTAAATGTGTTTCACTGCCCCAGAACAATTTTTTAGGGAGTATGTACGAGACTATAGACCCAACCAGCACTGCCCTGGAACACTGCTAACTCATGCAGAACATCTGCATTCACCCACAAGTTCATAATTATTACCCAAACTTTAGCTCTTCATTTAATACATACATGTTGAATGTGGTACGTAAAAGTCAAGGGCATTCATATGGTCAAACTGAAAAATATTAAATGATAGTCTCTCCCTCCTCAACTGATGTATCAACAGAGCATGTAGACAATATCGATACTGTGAGCACTGTTACCTAGGCAACACATAGAAGCTTCATACTCAAAAGGACTGGAGAACTGGCATTTGTCCATTTCTCAGGAGTTTTCTTTCATGTAAATGTAACAATTCCTTAATTCCCTACCAACTGCTGTTCCTATGTTATGGATACATGATGACACGGGATTTTTTAAAAATCACTCATTTTCACTTTCAGGTCGTTTCTAAATAATTATAAAGTAACTAAGTTGCTCTGTTGCATCACATTTTGATCTCAGGAAATTAAAATGCATACATATCTATAATCCTTAATATTATTTAAAAATAGTTAACTAGACTCAAGGAAAATATACATATCAACAAGTTCCAGATGCACTTTAACATTTATTATAAAAATAAATTGCCGATACAACATGTAAAAGATGTTCTCTTGTGGACATGGAGGTACTTACCTTAGCTCACCAGTCAGCGTGTTTTGTCCTCAAAGCCAAGCTGTCGTCCCACACTCATCCCAAGGTGCATAGCACACTCAAAGAGCAAAGGTGCATCACCAACTTCCTGCTTTGGCATACTTGGGTAAAGTCCATTGCTGATTTTACCGGCAGGCCTGACGCTATCCCAGCATGCAACAAGACACTCTGGGCCCATTGCCTCATAGTTCACATTTTGGAAGCCAACAGAATATTTGTTTTACTTTTAAAGCTGAGCACTTAAACAATTAGGCCTGGCTTCAGATTAAACCACAGCATACTAAGCATAAAGAAATATTGTAATAATCTGTGCTTCGACAGTATTCCATTTGGTGTCATAGTGAAGGAACTATATAATGAACCCTAAACAGGATAACTACAGCTAGCCATACAAACTAACCAGGGCAGTTTACCATAGCATGAATTACAGACAGTATACCCTGAATAGCACAATACAAGATCTATCTGCATCATGCTGGTCTTGTACCTCACCTAAGGGGGGGATTAGTGGCTTTATGCTGGGTGGGGAAAAACTCAATTTTCCTCTGCAGAAAAAATGTGTGCTAGAGAGATAAGATCAAGCAGGTAATAGGAAGACACACACTGGGGTAGGCAGCCCTCATCCCGGAGTGCCGGTAGCCAGCAGGTTTTCCATCCTACCAGGTCTCTGATGAACCACACCTGATCTCAGGCAGACTCATCAGGTAGGATAGAAAACCTGCTGGATACAGGCACTCCGGGATCAGGATTCCCTACCCCTGACGTACACAAATGAACAAGCAGCATCAGTGTAATGAGTTTATTACATGAGAGGAAACCTACAGACTTGTTCTGCAAAGATAATGTGCGCCATTTCCTTCTCTTACATTCCATAATGGTATCAGCAGAAATTTCAGCATTTCTTTATGGTGTTTGAGGCAAACACGCAGATTATCGGGATGCAATCCAGAACAGAATGACCACCGTATGGACCACAAACACATAAGAGAATATTTTATTTAAACCAACAAAACGACACTCAAACCTCAATCAGAGTTGACCTGGGATCAGGAGGAAAGAGTTTATTTATAAGAGTGGCAGTAGCCGTGATGTCATGGGAGGGGGTAGGTGACAGATTACAGAGAAGCCTTGGCTTGTGTGTTCTTGGCCAGAACCTTCAGATCTGCGATGCACTTTGCGATGCTCTCCTTTTCCTGCAGGACAAAGGAAGCGAGATATCAGCTAAGACTGGTAATTTTCACCCTTTACTCTGATTATTAATTTTGACGTTATACCGGTTGATTACTTTTTACTTTTAGACATTTACAAACAGTGTAGTTAGTTTGACCAACTAAAGAGTATTCAATATCAAACAATAATAATAGAACAGTTTCTTTGTTCCCTGTGGGGAAAATCTCTTTGTCTACCCAGTCTTGCTTTCCATAAGACACAGACGTAGGTGAGAGGAAGCCTGAAAGAGAAGAGCAGCCACCCGTAGCAGCGCCCATGGAGCTGGGGGTTAAGGGCCTTGCTCAAGGGCCCACAGACGTGGCTATTCTGCTGAGGCCGGGCTTAAACCGGTGGCCTTCTGATCACTGGAACAGAGGTTTAGCCCACTGAGCCATACCCTGCCCCTAAACTTAATATTAATAGTATTTAACTATAAAAATATTAGAACTTAAAATCAGAGAAATGAGAACAGATTGCATGTGAAAATTATCAATTTTGATAAGTTGCCCTAAACTGAAAAACAATAGGCGAGTGAAGCTGACAAACATGACAATTAAACACAAAAATGTCACAGCATTGGCTTAGTCACTGTGATACAAATCTTGCATTGTGTACCTCAATGACAATAAAACCTATGAATCTTGCATCTATGGTTTTCAAAACTATTTTCTACACACCGCTGCCCTCTGGTGGCCTAAAAAGAAAAGAGCAAGTTTCTCCCAAAAGGCTGTGTCAATCACAGCCGTGCCGAGGCGAGGCCTAAAGGTGGTACCTGCTGAGGCGTAATGCTCTTCACCACGTTCTTCTCCACCCAGTCCACCATGTGCTCACGCTCCAGGCGCTGGTGCAGGTTCTGCAGCTGGATCTGGTAGTCCAGCCTCTTCTTTACCTCGTTGGTCACCATGTGCAACCGCTCCCTGTAGTTGGTCTCCAGCAGCATGGCCACGTTGTTCTGTGAGCAAGAAAGTCAAAGCCACCATCGATCACAGAACCACAGCGATTGTTCCAAATCGTTCACCCAGCTGATCATTCATGTCGTACATCTGCGGCACACACTTCCTCCTGTCCCTCACCCGCTTCGCGTCAAACAGCATATTCCTCCCCTCCACTCTCCACTGCTCCTTCTTCTCATCGTCGATGGCTTGGGTCAGGCTCTTGACGGCCACATCCTTCACCTCCTGCACCTTGGCTGCTTTTTCCTGGAAGCACGGAGCGAGAGGTCAAAGGTCAGAATCTTCCATAATACATCAGAAGATAAAACCTGAAGGACAGACTCGGTGACTGTTCTATGCTGCCAACTCACTGCACACCAACCATTCGAGGGCAATTAGCCAGCTTACATCGTTCAGCTTGTCGGCAAACGCAGCGATGCCCGGACCAAACTTCTTGACGGCATAGATGAGGACGGCACCGACAGAGAGGGCGGCGAAGGTCTCGTGGTTGATGACGTAGATCTCCTTGGACAGCATGTACAGCGTCAGGCCGGTGCCCAACACATACGGTCCTGGGGAAGGGGGTTCAGAGAGTAAGAGGGCAGCTCGCCGGTGCTAAACCAACTGTGCCGTCAAACCTTGGTCTACTACCTACAATACTTTATTTTTTTCATTCATTAGTGTATCTGACACACTTTCATTCCCACAGCCTATGCATGTTCATACAAACAAGACAGACAGTGCTTACTAAAGCCTCTGTGACCATATTATTGTAGCAAAATAGAAAAGAAAAGCAGAACTTTTGTGCCATAAAGAGAATTTAACCTGCAGAAAATGCTTGAGTCACATGAGTACAGAACTAGACAAATGCTACATACTAACTATTATGCAGTGAATGAGAGAGAAGAGAAAGAAAAAAAAGAAAAAATGTTGCACACACTGTAGCCCATTCTGCTTTACCACTGCATATTTCTGACAGGGTGGTTTCTCTATGTACGGTTGATTTACACACACACACACACACACACACACACACATCTTTTTTTTTTTTTTAACCCAAATCAGGCAAATAAACTGGGAGTCAAAACCATAGTTGACGCCTTTCACGTATAATTAATTCTATACAGTCAAACAAACGCATTGCGAAATCAAACTCAGACAGTTTAAAAAACACAAACCTAACAGACATCCATAAGCATACATTAGGAGCTTCCAAAGGGTGTCAAAATAATAGCCTTCAATGCTACTGATACTACAACAGTTATAGTCAAAGAATTACGGTCATCAGAGTTATACTGGAGTTGTCTGACAGAGACACACAAACATAACCGAACGGGGGAGCTTTAATTTAGTAGTGCTGGTGATAATTCCTGTTATAGACGCTGTCATGTCGGCTCTCACAACAAGCGTGTAACATGAACGGGATTTAAGCTGAACTAAAGCCAGGCTCAGTAAGCGCTACCGACCTGTAACCCCCGTCTTGGGGTACAGGAACTGGAAAAACTCCTCTGGGATGAAGCCATGGCGGACTTTCCCCGACTTCTCAGGTAGAGGCGGCACGGGGGCTTGGGTCTGGGGGGACGTGTGGAGGCAGCGGCCGGCCTGGACCAGGCTGGGGAAAGGAGGGATAGAATGATGGTCAGAAAAACCCCCCATATCTCTTCGGAAGAACCAGCCTGCACTGCAAACCCATGCCAATCGGCCACTTAGACTAACAGCAGTAACAGAACCAGATGTGCATATACTACAGTTATTTCTAATATAACATGCTGATAGCAATAGAGTATTCTATAGATCTGGGAGCAATCTGGGGGGTATGGACATTAACATCCTTTACTTTTCACTGTCTTCTCTAGGCTGACAGTTACGTACAAGGACATCTAAATTTATATCTGAACCCATCAAAATGCAATGCTTGCGCGAGAATCTGGGTCTGTAGGGACGGACGTTCACAGAGGTCAACTGACACTTACCCTGCCCCGAGAGACCCGCTGCTTTTCAGGGCAGACGCTGTAAGAAAAAAAGACAGAAAACATCAATTCCACCGCTTCTTAAAGAACCTCCCTACTGACTGCCTTATACTACTTAAGCAGCGCGCAAGGCCAGACAGAAGAGGCGTACTATTCAACAGACCCAAGCAGATCGCTACACCCCGAATTTAAAACGTGCAACAGACCAGACCTCATCTGTATTAGTTTAATATCTTAGGAATAAACGGACCTGGAACTAATACTAATAACTGAATGCTAACGGTTAAATTAGCAAGACCACATGCGCTACTGTCAGGACCCAACATTCCTTCTCATCTTTAACTTACGTGCGATCCTTATAACATCAGACAGATATAAGCCATATATAACATCACCCTCCGTCCTGGAAGTATGAATGCCGGCAGGTTTACGTTTCTTCAAGGCCTGTCAGGTTACCCTTCAGCGATACTCCAGTACAGTGGAAACTATAAAACTATAAAAACACAAGCCAACCCGTTACTCGCTACTGGGCTTACCTGGAAGAAACACCAGTCTAGACAACATGTCTAGTGAGAAAACGGCCACCGCAGACACAAATGCCGAGCTCCTAATAATTCTTCGCCGTGTCCTTCTGCAGCGGGCACTAGCGACGCGATGGCGGAGAAAACTCGCCCCGTAATATCGCGAGACCCGCGTTCTCCTCACGCGATAAGGTAACTCGGACTGGTGTATTGCTGCCCCCTGCAGTAGTGGAGGGATGTTGCAAGAGTACTTTTTTTTTTTTTTTTTTTTTAAAGGAAAGAAAAATGATGGATAACTCAAATTGAGACACGCATTAAAATACTACACTGCTGGGCGAAAAATGAGGCAAACAGAGTTTATTGCACTTTCTATACATACTTTTTTATTTGAACAAATACAAATGAAACAGTGTAAGCCGGAAGCAACCATGTAACAATATATTGTATGCATCTCCTGGAAAAGCCATCCCCTT